CTTGCTAGGTTGGGGAACTTATCCTGGATAATATCCCAAAGAGTGTTTTCCAACTTGGTTTCATTCCCCTGTCACTTTCAGGGACACTGATCAAATATAGATTTGGTCTTTTCATATAATCCCATATTTCTTGGAGGCATTGTTCATTTCTTTTCACTTTTTCTCTAATCTTGCCTTCTCACTTTATTTCATTGAGTTGATCTTTAGTCTCTGATATCCTTTCTTATGTTTGATTGATTTGACTATTGAAACTTGTGAATGCTTCACAAAGTTCTTGTGCTGCCCATATCACTGTAATTTCTGAAAAAAAATATTTCAGTCTACATGGATTTCATGATATTCAAGGCATGTTACTCAGTCCTAAATTGGGTCTACTTTGGGGACAGAAGAGGAAAAAAGAAAATCAAGGTATGGTAAATTACTTCTGCAATATCCTGATGACAGTAGCTTTTGGATTAGAATTATAGTTCAAAGTTTCAGGATTATAGTGCAAGTAGCAGTTCTCCAGGAAAGTCCTTTTGATTGAATGAAAGTGAACACAGGACAGCAATAAGGGTCTTCTGCATGGCTTCCCTGGGTGGTGCTACCATGTTATTGACTTTAAAACTTGGAAATAAACCAAGCAAAGGGCAAAACGACAGCAAGAGGGGCTGTGTGTGATGGCTCACGCCTGTAATCCCAGGACTTTGGGAGGCCAAGGTGGATGAATCACTCAAGGTAGAGTTCGAGACCAGCCTGGCCAACATGGTGAAACCCCATCTCTACTAAAAGTGCAAAAACAGCCGCGTGGTGGTGGGTGCTTGTAATCTCAGCTACTCGAGAGGCTGAGGTGGGAGAATTGATTGAACCCAGAAGAAGGTTGCAGTGAATCAAGATTGTGCCACTGCACTCTGGCCCGGGTGACAAAGCAAGACTTCATCTAAAAACAAAACAAACAAAAAAGCCAAACTGCAGGAAGGGGGAATGTAGTGCCTGGGGAGAGGCATTTCGTAGACTGTTATGTGGAACCTAGGTCTGCAAAGGATCTGTGGTCAAATGAGTTTATAGGCTATGGTAGAGTTAAATGTGTTCTTTTCTGCAATGGCTGCTGTGACCCTTTAATATACTGATGTGCAGTGTGAATCTCCATATGAGGAATTTCGTACGTATCACTGCCTAAAATTATCTCACCATGAAACTGTCATCTTTCAGGACATTTTTTCTGTAGAAGAATACAGTTTCAGAAATATTATAGGAATAATATGACAATATTAGAAATATTGGGCATGTACTCTGTGCCCAATACTATTTTTGCAGATGAGGAAACTGAGATTTAGTAAGTCACTTAGCCTATAAGTGACAGAGCCAGGTCTGATTCTGAAAAGGGATCATATCATTACTTAACCCCACACATGGAATTTTGAGTTTGTTCTCATACATGCAACTATGACCATTTATTTAGCACTCTCTATGTGGCAATCGCTTTTCACAAGAAAACTGTTATTATTGTAAATGTTCCCATTATCGTCATCCCAGGTCCTCATGAATAATATGTAAAAATTCAGTGCATTTCCAAGTTTCTCAAAGGATTTTAGAAATGACATGTGCTTGTGTGCAGCTTAGAAATGTTGAGTCATTTGGAATACTGCTTGTATCCATGTTTCACTTTGTGCATGAATAATGGCAAAAAATTGCTCAGCACTTTCCCCTACACTTCTACCTTGTTTAAGCTGCAACTGGAGAGGGTTAATTTATGCTAATTCCACACGAGAAGCTAAAGCCCATTTATCACAAGTTTCCATTCCTCAGCAAAACACACACAAATGCACCTAAGTATTGGGCAAACTAAGAACCGTGCTGCTGTTGTGTGGAGCGATAATAGGTCTGTTTATATTCAGGCACAGATCAGCAAGCAGAAGTCACCTGTGGAACACAGAAGGCAGTGGCAGTCAGTCTCTCACCACTGCTGCTTCCTGCTTCCTGCCTCTGAGAAGTGACAGAGATGGGGAAGGTGAATGGATAACATACATATTAGAACTGGGATACAGAAGTTCATTTTCCCAGAATAATTTGCTAATTACTTAAGTGTAAATGATTTAGAATGGAAAGGTTTAACCTGGGGATGGGGAGAGATGAGACGAAGGAAAGAGAAGGGAAAAGAATTTGTGTGTGCGCATGCACACATGTGAAAGTTTGCTTTCTGTGTTGCTGAGAGCTTGGACAAAGTAATTTTCTCTCTTGGTTTTCCATGTATTTCAAATGCCAACCTTTTCAAGCAAGCTCAGTATTCTTAGTTGCTTCATATCACTGGTATTCTGGTTATGCCGAAAGAGTATTTAGCTAGGAGTGAAAAGTTTAGCTTTGTTTCAACCTCTCACCCTCCTAATCATCTGTGGCCCCTCTCTGAGCCTCCACTGTTCCCTGACAAATTAAGGGTTTGCACTAGAAGATGGCTTTTAAAACATCTTCCTAATATAACTGCTTTATGTGATGATGGTATTATGATAATAATGAGAGGGAGAGATCTTATCTTTTCGAGTTACAGGTTGTTAAATTATAGGTTTTCCAAGATTTAGTTCAGAATAATCCAGTGGTTTGACGTTGTGGGGAGTGGATAAAATCAGACTGGCTGTCAGCTGATGGTTGTTGAAGCTGAGTGGTAGGATCATTTCTGTATTCTATGTGTGTGTTTGCATGCATACATATAAATATCCATCCACATATACATACATAGGTATATATGTGTACATATACCTGTCTTCCAAACTTAAGAGTACATGATTAGTCCTACTGCTCCTTTTAAAACTTAGTGTTTTAACTTGTGCTGCTTGTTAATTTATTTCTTGTGTTATAGTCTTAGTCCTAATCCCCATCCTCAGAAATATGTCTTTTACTGACATTAGCCCAGGGTTGAGTATATAGAAAGTGTGTGTGTGATGATTCATGTCTTAGTTCTTCTGTTTACTAGTCCTAAGTCCTTGTAAAACAACATTAACCAGTGAGAACTTCACTGTTATCTCTTTAATGGGGATCAGGGTCCCTGCCTTCCATTTATGAAAATCAACTGTGATAATGTCTACAACATACAGAAAGTGTTCTCTTCCCCAGATGACATCCTACTAATTGCAGGGTGAGTTCTGAAGAATTTCTGAACCTCTTTGCCGATGGCATTGAGAGCTTTTCTCTTCGAATTTTGAACAGAAAGAAACTTTGTCTTGGATGTTTCATGGCAGTGAGACCCCAACCATCTCTTACACACAAACTCAACTAATCCCATTTCAAAAGTGAGGTGATGCTTGACTTACAGGGAAGAGAAAATAGTGGGGGGTTCTTTACATTCAGTGCTTCCTGAAAGCCAACTCTCCTGAAATGACTATTTTCAGAGAAGGAAGGGTGGCTTTCATTTTTCACCAAAACTGTATGGATAGATGGAAGGTGCTTTCCAGTATCAATACAGAGTGGCTGAGATGTCATCCTGAAAAACTCAGCCAGAGCAGAAGCCACTGAGAGTCTTGTCTGAGACCATCAGTATTAGACTCTTATTCTTGAACTTTTTAACCTGGGTGACTAAAGCGTTGCCCTCTCAGCTCACACCAGAGAAAACCACAGAAAATGGTGATTAAAGGTCACCTGTATTTCTGGTTATCAGGCTTTGCTTAAGTTGATGGAAGGTAAAGGTCAGCACTAAGGCTTCCATGGAGTACATGTGACTTGTCTTTTATGCGTGAACTATGCTACATTTGCAAAATGTCAGTTTTTAAGAGGGTAGAAATTAATTGCAAAGTCTTACAAGTATGACAGCTTTGACCGTGAGATGGGGGAAGGTGTAGAGGTGGAGAGAGGTGTTTTCCAGACTGCACTTTAAGAGGAAACTCAGGGAGGGAGACTCTTGTATGGACGCAGAGACTTCTGGTTTGTCTGAGAGAAAAACTCACTATTTGAGAGGCTGGAGCGTCTTGGTGTGGGCTGTCGGAGCTTTTGGGAAGCTGTGGAAACAACCAGGTTGCAATTCCCTCCTTCAACATCTGAGTGGCTGCTCTTGTAAAATATTCACTTGGACGTCAGTTTCCTGTGTACAAAAATATAAGCATGTTCCATTACTTCACTGTTCCTTCTCTCGTTGACAACTTTGCAATTATTTTTCTCACATGACAACTACTGGAGTAGGGGCGAGGGGGTGGTTGAATACACGAAAAAAAATTTTTAGGTGGTTTTATTGGCCATCTGTTTGCTTAGTGGAAAAAGCTTACACTCAGAGCATAATAAAATACTAGCAGCAGTAGAAACGAAATCTAGGCCAGGCACAGTGGCTCATGCCTGTAATCCCAGCACTTTTGGAGGCCGAGATGGGTGGATCATGAGGTCAAGAGATCAAGACCACCCTGGCCAACATGGTGAAACCCCGTCTCTACTAAAAATATAAAAAGTAGCTGGGTGTGGTGGTGGATGCCTGTAGTCCCAGCTACTCAAGAGGCCGAGGCAGGAGAATCTCTTGAACCCGGGAGGCGGAGGTAGCAGTGAGTCGAGATCACGCCATTGCACTCCAGCCTGGCAACAGAGCAAGACTCTGTCTCAAAAAAAATAATAATAATCTAATAATTATATGACTTAATATGTGCCTGGCACTTTTCTCAATGCTTAACGTACGTTAGCTCACTTAATACTGATCAGAACCCAATGAAGTATGTACCATTATTATTATTATTTTACCACATAAGGTACATTAAGGTGAAGTAACTTGCCCAAGACCACATGGCCAGGTAGAGTGGGACTTGAATCCAGGCAGCCTGGCCCTGGGGTCTGTGCTTTTCATTGCTTTGCTGCAGTGCAGGAACATTTGGGGTGGGAGTAGGGTGGGCTCTGATGTATCCCAGGTCAGCCATGTGACATGCATCTTGTGTGTATAACCCCACCTGTTTTTCCAGGACTTACCGTGCTTGTGCATGTGAACCGTTTGAGCGTCTCACAGAGTCTCACCTGCCCAGTTTTCTGCTCATGACCATGTCTTGTCTTCCCTCTAGCCCCCCTGGTGGACCTCACTCCAACCCACAGTGGATCTGCCATGCTGATGCTGCTCTCAGTGGTGTTTGTGGGGCTAGCAGTGTTCGTCATCTACAAGTTTAAAAGGTGTGTATCCCTCCATCCACATCTCCCCACCCCCAACCTCTTCCTTCTCCCTGACAGGTCCAGAAGCATGTGTTACAGTGATGTGCATAGCAGTGATGGTTTCTATTAATATTTTAGGAAGATCCCGGGCATTAGTGCTTATGCCCAGATGCAGAATGAGAAAGAACAAGAGATGATCAGTCCAGTCAGTCACTCTGAAAGCAGGCCCAGTGTCCCTCAGACTGAACTAAGGAGGCCTGGCCAGCTTATAGATGAGAAGGTGGAATCCCAGCTCATAGGTAAATGATTCCCAGTAGCCATCAGCTGTTCAGCTGAGTAGGCAATGGCTGACTCTCTCTCTAACCCCTTTCTGCCCTGACATAACCACTTTCTTCTGCTCTAACACCCCTGAGAGAAACAGCTAATATGGCGCTTTCCCTGCTTCTTCTTATTGGGATGGGGAAAAGAAAACAAGGAACCTCTTGCTTCTATCTAGTTTTTTTTCTCACATTAGTTTAGTCCTCCTTTTGCAAAACCCTCCCTAAAATATTGGGCTTAACATGTTAAAATGTTACATGTTTATGGGCAAAGAGCAAAGCGTTTGCTATAATATATAAGAAGGAGAGGCCTCAGAGGCTAGGGCTGGTGGCTCAGAGGACTGGGCAGGGTTTGCTGGACATGGTATGTATTGACTAGAACGAAACATGGTGGCCTTAACTGGATACAGCTCTAAAGAGGGCACACTGCTTCAGAACGCTAGTAGAGGAGTGACGTAACAAGAGTGGCCAGCCTCACCATCCAGGGCAATTTTTTTTTTTACATCTAGTGGTAGCTAGGAACTTTCTCTCAGGAGATATGGCACCTAAGAACTTGAGGACAAGAGGCATAAAGTTTGCAGACATCCAGGGAGTGGAGCAACCTCAGAGAGACCACACTGGTGGGTGAGATTATTACATAGCAGATTAGCAAATTTCTTCCTCTTTTTTTGACTGTCCCTTAGCAGAAATTGTAAAATAGACTTTCTCATATTTCAACGGAGCTCTCTCTGCCTGTGAAGTAGGCACAGGAATCCAACAAGTAGGTATGGAGAGTCTGACGTTCGCTTGCAAGCAGATCCTGCTATTTATTGCAGGAAAACTTTTCCAGGAAGTTAGACAAACCCATGAAGTCACTATTGCTGATCCATTTCTCTCTTTGGTCCCTCCTGTCTGTTGGTGCTAGGAGTTGAAGACTTGTATGTATGATCACAGCCAAATCCTGCATTGGTGACAACAGTGGATAAATTACCATATAACCGTTTCTGCTCCACTGTAATGTGATCATGCCAGACCACCTGGCCTTTACATAACATTTTTAATCTTACTTGGAAAAAAAATGAGTATATAAATGGAAACATGACCCTCTTTAAACAAATATGAGAAAGGTCTGTGGCTGTGTTAAGGAGAAATTTAAATGCAGCAACTGGCTCCTATCATAGATAATGATAACGACAGCAGCCACATCTGGTGTCTAATTTTCACAGTGCACTTTCTTTTTATTTGGGGAGACAAGGTAACAAAAGTGTAATTGCTTGGGGTTAAAAAGAAAAAAGACTTTTCTGTCTTCAAGTCCAGAGAGGCATTCACCCTGTCTACTCATTCCTGAAGCTTCTACGTGCATTTTTTGGTATCATTTGGTTCTCAGTTGCATTTCCGTAGGGTATGAAGCATAGCCTGTGTTTGCTTTATTAAAGTAGCAATTCCTCCTTCACCAGGAAGCTATCACAGCACATTGCAAAGTCTCTGACACCTTTCCCTTTCCAGTGTCATTAAATGAGTAAGTGTTACACGTTTTCTCTTAGGAGAGTAGCTTTACCCTCCCCTCCCTCCCCTTCTACTCAACCTGGTGACTCATCTCTCCGATTGCAAAGAGCAAGACACGCCACTCCGCCTTCAACGCCAAAGCGGGGATCTGCTGGGGCACAATTTGCAATTTAAGGAAAACCCCCAAAGGCTACAGGCGACCTGCTGATCAGGAAAGAATTTCGCTCTTGTCAAGTACATCACCCTTCATGACCACTAACTTTGTGTTTTTTTCTTTCCTTTGTTGTTCTGTTTCCTGTTTTGCCAGGAAGTATTTCCATAGTTGCTGAGAATCAAAGCACAAAAGAAATCCCTACCTATGTAAATGTTTGAATGGAGGACGCCAGTAAAAAACAAAACAAAACAAAAACAAAATAATATAAAATATAAACAATCAAAATCCAAACAAACAAACACTCACTGCATCGGGACTTTTTAATTCTTCAGACACAGACAACAAGGGTTTTTAGCTTTAAGCCTGTGCATGTGGACGATACTCTGAGAACATGTGTGGAGGGGCAGTGTACAGGTGCTCTATTTTAATGGAAAACACTCCCCTCTCCCTCTTTCTTCTCCTCTCTCTTTTTTCTGATCGGTCGTGTTTGTAGAAAATTCACAACATATATAGGCCAAGGAAATCTGCATGTATTTTTGGAAATATTCTTGGCTCTAGATTTATCAGCTATTTTAGCATTAAGGGCTGATGGGTGGATTAGCTACCCCAGCTCCTTTCATAAGACACAAAGACATGCACAGGAGTTTGAAACCCTGAGCTGTTTCTCTGTTCCACTTTCCATATTGTCATCTCCCTTCTAAGTTAGCTTTTGTAGCTCTGCTGGTCAGCAGTGGCCACAAGGCTGCTTTCTTTACTCTCTGTGACCACAGAAACAAAGATGGGAGTTCAAGATCCCTGTAGGCAGGTAGAATAGGAAAGGAAGGGAGGCAGGGAGGCAAAGCATGTCAGAAACGGACCTTGATTTTCTGTTTACCTCTTCCCACCATAATTGCTTCCCCTTGCAGCTTTCCCTACTCCTGCCCCAACTGCAATAGGAAATGGAATCCCATTAATTACCCGTTTTCCTGCCTTCACATGTGTCTGTCATCCTTCTTCTGTGGCCATGACCTGTTGGTGTCTTTGTCTTCCCTCCAAATCCCAAATAAGTTGTCCTTCAACTTCTCAATTTTTCTTCCCAAACATGTTGCTAGATTCTGGACATTAACCCTGATGTTTCCTAAATACCGGCCTGGCCTCTGCCGCCCCTGCCTCCATCACTTGCAAGTTTCTGATCCCTCTGTCAGTTTTGTACATTTCCAAGCATGTCAGTGTCTGTGCCCATGGACCTCGCTGTATCCTGCACAGCAGGGTTCAGTTTCATGTATCCGTATCTCTTCTTCTAGAACCTGCCTTTTCCCACCTGGAAACATTTACTGTATGTGAAAGAGTTGATATATGCAAAGCAATTCAAACCTGGCCATGTACTTTGGAAAAGAAAGCATAGAGATGAATTATGGTATTCTCACAACTTAAACAAAATCTCGTGCGATCTGATTCTAGAAGATTCTTGTGAGAAATGTTTTGAATATGTGACAATTTTGCAGGGCGATTTCCTCCTGTGATGGTTGCTGTTACTCAACATTTCCACTCTCACAATAAAATAGAAACGTTTGTGAAACTGATTTTAACTGGAAGGAGAAGCAGGTTAATGGACTTCATGTTTAAGAGTGTCAAAAAGTCTGAGAGAATAAATTGGGGGGGGGGTCTTGTCTTACAATAGGGTGAGAGTTTGATATTTAGGATGATCCCAGTGATTTCATATGTGCTCTCTGACCTCTGAGTATCATAATATCATTAAAGGAAAAATTTAAGTCTGCCTAAAGGAGAAAAGTTAGCTGATTGATGATTGGTTAAAAAAAAGATGATTGACCCAAAGCATGAAGAAATTCCAGTTTCCCCGGGTTATCATGAAAAAGGTCCAGAGAAAGAGGGAAACAAAAGCCTGTCCAGCAGAGGTCCCTTTAGTATTATGGTCTGGGCAAAACCCACTATAAATTATAGGAGCAAGAAGTTCTGATAAACCTCTTAGTGAGTTCAGCCTCCTCCTTTGCTGTGTCCCTAAGCCAACAGTATAACACAGGCCCTGGTGATAATGAGGGTGTCCTGAAGATCCTGATGTCCATGACTTTATGTAGCTCAGGCACAGAAAGAATAGCAAAGTTGCTGTCAGAAGTCCATCAGGCAGAGATGTTTATGGTTGAGGATACCCCGTATGAATCTGGGAAATTGGTTATGCCTGAGGCAGCCACCTATTTGTAGAACTCAATTGATTCCTAACCTGCCAGGCTTCCTATCTCATAGGAAACATCCTCACTGATCCTCTTCAGTTGGAGTCTCCCAAATTTAATCTGGAGGACAAAGTGTTTGGAAAACCAAAAGAGGCTCACTCAAACCAGCACAGGGAATCCTCAGAGTTGCAGTTCAATTCATCATAACTAGAAAAGTGTGAGAAAAGAATAACAGTCTTATTCTAGCACAGTGCCTTGCCTAGAGTAGTAGTATGAAAATTATTTGTTGAATAAATGAATGGAAAGACATACGGAAGAATAACATAGGGAAGAATAAGCTGTAAATCCTAATTAAAAATAGAGGTAGACATGAGATGCCTGGCATTTTGGAAAGTGACCAAAGATGGCCAGCTAGAGATTCAGCATCTCCAGGGTTCTCATGTGCCTCTCCTCAAAGCTCCCTCCCATCTGTTGGAGATTAGTGAGGCAAGGTACTGCTAGAGAGGACCTCGTGGTTCTTATGACCTTGGCCAGTTGTTCTCAAAGTTCGGTACCTGGACCAGTAGTATCAGAATCACTTGGGCTTGTCAGAGATGCAAATTCTCCATCCATACCCCATAGCTACTGAGTTAGAAACTCTAGGGGATGAATTGTGGTGTTCTCTGTTGCTAAGCGATAGTGAGCCTGGCCATCTATTTTAACAAGCTCTCCCAGTGACCATGATACATACTGGAGTCTGAGAACCATTGTCCTAGGCCATTCCAGCTGAATTTCAAACAGAAGGCAGTAACAACCGCCTACAAATGGGAGGGAACTAAGTGCCTACCTACTCGCTAATAGCAGGTGCAAACACACAAGGGGTTTGGTGGGCTTAAGGTCAGAGGAGTGTGTAGGGAAGTATGTATGTGGAAGGTAAGATTCAGGGCAAGCTAAAAATCCAATACTGCAACGTTTTCCAAAATCCCAGAAGGCAAACTGTGCATGTTCTACCTTGAACCAGCCAACCAACATTTTCTCCCTTGCCTTATTTTTAATTGGATTCACTATCCAAAATGCAGAGGTTTGCTTTGCTTTTTTTTCCAGAAGTTCCAAACAGCAACTTTGAGAGCAGTGGGGTGCTTGGCAGCTGTTCTGTTTTCCAGGAATCCAACTGAGCATTGAAATCTCTCATTTGCCAACTTATTTTTATAGGAAGCCAATTTAAAAAAAAAAGTTTTCTTATAGTATTGGAACTACTTCTAATTTTAAAATGACTTTTTTGATGTATTTTTTGTTAAATACTATGTAGTGTAATGTATAATTGCTCTTGTTTATTGCTTTTACAATCATATTTATTAAACAGATAATGTCTCTAAGTCTTTGCCTCAGGAATTTTTTTTTAATCCTAAACCCTTGGTGTTCATTCTAAATACAGAAATGTTACATTATAGGATTTCATGAATGCTAATTGCATAAGAAGTAGTAAACACCACAGGTTTTTACTAGGTGTTTTACAAAAACACCACCAGGTTGGAGGGTTTTTGCTTTTTTTTTTTTTTTTGCTAACAAGGCAGAATGTATCTACTACCTGAATTCTACTTGGATTTCAATGAACTCTGCAGCCTGTTACTTTATTAAATTACTTTGACTTAAAAACTAGTCCAAACTAGTTATTTTAGAATGAGTATGTATTCATTATTATTAGTTCAGAATTAGAAATTATTGATAGGGAACAATTCCATTCAAATTTGCTCATAACCTTGTAGTTACTGAAAGACCAAACCTGCATGAAACGAACTGAAACATGGGGAGTGGTAAAACAGCAGATGAGTGAAAACAGCTGTGGACCTGGAAGCAGGCAGGAGGAGTTCGCCTCTGGCTATGCCAGCTGTGTGACCTTGAGCAAATCATTTTAACATATAAGAGCTTTAGGGCTCTGATGCATATAATTTGGACACAGAAGATCCCTTCCAGCTCTGCCTTTCCAAGTACTATGAGTGGGTGAGTCATTCCCAAGAGTCCCAAATATTTTACTGAAATATTTGTACAGACATAAAACCCTCCTTATTCTTCCCAAAGGCCTGCCAGACACAGAGCGGTGTTGCCTCATTGGCTCAATCATTGACATATGTGAAACTCCCTGTCACTCTAGGTGACCCTTAACCTTTCCATTCTCACAGACTAAATTCCTGAATCTTTATTCCTTTCCAGGCCAGATACCATGCACCTCCTTCCTATCAGGGGCAATTTATCACCTGTGTCAGGCACACAGAAAGCATCCCTATACATGTCAAACAGAAGGGAGTTAATTCAGAACATTTGTTGCTGGGTTAATGGAAGAACAAAAATCCCAAATCAGAGCAGGTGAGGCAACCTTAAGATTTGCTTCAATAGGATGCCTTTCACTTCCCAGTGCTGGAGAGATACAGGTATTACCAGAGCCCTGGAGCCAGCACCACCAGGTTGAAGCTGAAGTCATGGAGGACTTGTCTGGCAGGAGCTGAAGCCATGGAGGAGACATGACTACTACCTGTCCTGTGATGCTGCCTAAACAGAGTAGGGAGAAGTAGCTTGCTTTCCCTTGTTCTGTTCCTCTCAGCTGTTGCCAGCCCTTTTAACTGCACACCCCAGTCACAAGCCAGTCGGCCGTGGAGCCTGGGAAATGTTTTCTGGAATACTCCCAGTGGGGAGTGGGAAATGGATTTGATAGTACACAGGCAGGTGACTGGCACAGCTCCCCTTTCACTGCCAGCCCATATCATAACCAATGTATCTCCCCCAACCCTAATGCACCAGGTACGGTACCTCGCACCTGTAATCCCAGAGCTTTGGGAGGCCAAGGCGAGTGTTTGGGTGAGATTGCTTGAGCCCAGGAGTTCCAGCCTGCAGTGAGCTGTGGTCATGCCACTGTGGTCTGCCTGGACAACAGAGCAGGATCTTGTGTCTAAAAAATAATATGTAATCCCAGCACTTTGGGAGGCCAAGACTGGCAGATCACATGAGGCTAGGAGTTTGAGACCAGACTGGCCACATGGTAAAACTCCATCTCTACTAAAAATACAAAAATTAGCAGGGTGTGGTAGTGCACCCCTGTAATCCCATCTACTCTGGAGGCTGAGGCACAAGAATCACTTGAACCCAAGAGACAGGGCGCAGTGAGCTGAGACTGTGCCACCACATTCCAGCCTGGGCAACAGAGCGAGACTGTCTCAAAAAAAAAAAAACAAACAAAAAACAAACAAACAAAAAAAACAAAAAAACCATAAATAGTAGGTGCTTCCTTCTCTGCCACTTTGTTCACTTACTTCCCTTTAAACATCACATATTTAGAACTTGGCTGTATGCAAATGTGTGGCACTTATGCCTTTCTCACCAAATTCTACACTCCTTTAAAGGAGGATCTTTTTTTTTTTTTTTTTTTTTTTTTCAGCATTTAGGACTGGGCATTGCCATTAGGGGGCACTAGATAAATGTCTGCTGGAACTCAGCCCTTGATTTTCAGCTTTGTGTTGTGAGCAAGTCCATTTTATTCAGCGATGATCTCTGAGGTGGCTTCACAGCTAGCACCTCTAATTACATGTTCAGCTGGTGCTTGTCAAGAATCAACATGTTCTGTTACCACTCAAGCTGCTGTATTCCCGGAGCTATTCTTAGATATTAATGTAAATGAAATAATTGTAGTTTAGGAAGAAGAAGAAGAAAAAAAAAACTGACTAGAAACTAGCATAAAAAACAAAGGTCTAAGTTTGATTTCTGGATTATTATGTAATTTGTTTACCTATTTCCCAAGGAGTTAACAGTACTATGAAAATGCATGTGAGTCTGAGGCTTGCATAGTAAGGAAGTGCCAAATAATTCCAGATGGACAAATACAAGGAAATGGCTGTTATAAAGTTTTCCTGTTAAACACGTGAAAAGGGACCCATGTTATACAGCATACAGATATTTATTGATCAGTATGCTGTGGCCGCTGCTTTAGGTGTTAAGAATCTTTTGTGAACAAGGCCGATAACATGTCTGCCTTTATGAAGTAATTATCTGAATAGGAGCAATGAACAAATAGTATGATTTAATGTAACATATGCAATGCTGTCATACATATAAGATAATTTCAATATATCAAAATGTAAAACGTGATAGGTGACAGGTTGGCCAGAGTGACTGGGGGTGTGGGGCAGGAGACGGGAAGAATTGGTCCTCGGAAAGAAAAACGTCTAGATGCTGAATGAAAACCTTTTCAGGATCTGAAGGCTAAAAAGGAAACAGCCACTTAGACACTGGCTAGAAACTAGCATAATACCTGGTGATACCTGTGTCTCTCCACTTAGACACCTGCATTGTCCCAATATGTTCAAAAGCAACCTTAGAACAACCGCACCCAGGAAGCAGTTTTGAACCTAAACAATTAGAAATGTTTCTGAGTTTAAGAGAAAATAGCTCTTCCATCGCACATGCGCGGGGTCTTCCCCAGAGATCATATATACAGTCAGTTGTACTATTATGTAATATACGAGTTTCCAAATTCACCTCACTATGCCAAATGGCATAATGAAGCCCATAAAGCTTAGGGGAAAAGATGGGGCTGGGGCACAACACACAAAAACTTTGTCATATCTCAGTGTAATACATCTCTGGACACATTTTTAAAAAGGAACAAATCAAATAGAAATGGTAGCATAGTTTTACACACACTAAATGGTGAAGAAATACACAAAGAAAACACTTACCTTGAAAATACTTGAAGTTTGCTTATAAGAGTGGGTGTTGGAATCCTTACCGCATGTGAGTTGTTATGAAGTGGTAGAAGGGAAGTTACCTAAAATCAGACAGAAATTTGTAACATCAAATATAGATAATGTGGCTGTAATACACAAGGCAAGTGGAAGCATCTGGTAGGTGTTTGAGGTGTGTGTGTGTGTGTGTGTGTGTGTGTGTGTGTGCATGCACACTATGTTTTTTTACACAGCTGGTTTTGGCTGAGTGCAGTTGTCTGCATTCATTTAGTTTTTCTCATTGACAAAATCATGCATAATCAAACACAGCATTTGAATTATCCTCAAATTCTTCCCTAATATATCAATTACATTAGAACTAATTTACATTTTCAAAAAATGCTTGATAGCAGAACTGACTGTAATTTAGGTAGTAGTTTAAAAGTACTGTAGAGGGAAGAAGCCCTACCTGACAGCAGAGGAAAAAGATAAGGAAATACTGCCAATCCTCATTAAAACTGTAATCTCAGACCGAGGTCTTTTGGTGTAGGGACCAGCAGCCCTGTTCACTTACACAGACCTTAGATCATCATCCAGTTTGCACCTACCCCAGCAACAAATATTTAGAAACAGGCTTTGGCCCAAAGAATGTTAAGTTGTGGTCAGAACCCCTTGTTAAAGCACGGCTGGCTGGGCACAATGACTGACGCATGTAATCCTAGAAATTTGGGAGGCTGAGGTGGGTGGATCACTTAAGGCCAGGAGTTTGCGATAAGCCTGGGGAACTTGGGGAAATAATAAAAATACAATAATTAAATATTGTAATACAATAAAAATACAAAAATTAGCTGGGTGTAGTGGCACACCCCTGTAATTCCAGCTACTCAGGAGGCTGAGGTATGAAATATCTGAGCCTGGGGGACAGAGGTTGCAGTGAACCAAGATTGCACCACTGCCCTCCAGCCTGGGCAAAAGAGCAAGACTGTCTCCAAAAACAAGCAAACAAAAAAACATGGTATGACAAAGACATTTATAAAGTATTTGAAGAAAAGTAAAAACAGCTACAGATTTGAAATGTTTAAAAATAATCTCAAGGCCTCTAGATAATCATAAAACACTTTATAAACAATACTAAGTAAATATTTCAATGTACGCATTTGTATTTATCTTCATAATACTTCCTGTTTATGTGAATAATAACAGCTTATAGATGCAGAAAAAGGATTCAGTGAGCACTATGTGTAAACTAGTTAACAATAATATATGCATATAATAAAATACAGTGTTTCTATTAAAATTCTCTTTCTAAAGAATATTTAAGGAACATGAGCAATTTTTCATGTGATGTTAAGAGAAAGCAGAATGTAAGAGTTTACATATTATTATAATTTGTACAGAAAATAGTGACAGAAGAAGAAAAATAGTAACACAAGTTATTTCTAACTTGTAAAACTATGGGTGTTTCAATCCCTTCATCTTTGTTTATATATTTTTTAAGTTATTCTAGTATTTGCTAATTAATTTTGTAATTATTGCAAATAATATATTTAATGATATGTAATGTTTATAGGAAAATTCATAATTGTTGGTAGCATATACTTAAATTCCTTTAATAAGTTAAAAACAACTTCTCTAGGTAAGACATTTTTTTTAACCTTGTTTAT